GAGCTCCTATTACATGCTGAAGCTGCAACAATGAACAAGACAGATGCTTGAAAATAATCACATGATTAGCCTATGATAAACCTTCGACGAGAGTCCAGGAAGCTCTGTTACCACATACCAGGCACCTTGGCTGGATTTATGGATCAGAGAACACTTCTTAGAGAAAGTAAATTCTAAATGGAGGCCTAAAGAATAAATAAGAAGTGGACGAAAGTGAGTGGAGGAAGAGTAGGAGAGCGTTCTAACAAAACGATATAGGGCATGAGAGCTTGGCACTGAGGGGAATTGAAAATTAAAGTTCAAGAGTGCTCTTCTGAGGACATCAGAGACCAAAATGTCTTTTATCCTGATGGCCATGGAGGCTTCTTGCAATGTTTTAACTGGAGAAGAAACATCAATCATGTTTGTGCTCTAGAAAGACTATTCTAACCACTGTGTCAAGGACAAATTTGAAAAACTAAAAAGACATAAAGGCAATAGAAACCCATTGGGAAACTGTTGTAATAATGCTGACCAACTGGTAGTGTCACTTTTGTCACCAAGTATATGAGGAACAGCAACGAATGTGAGAGAAAGAAATGAGCACAGAAAAGCAATTCTGTCCACATGTGTTCTATCTCGAGGAATCAGTGTGCAGCAGCGCAGAACAGCAATTGCACAGAGGCAAGGAGCCAAGGCTGTGCCAGCCCTTTAGAGGAAGAGGCAGCAGGTGTAGGATGGAGGATATGGTACAGGGAGGGATCTCAGGCCCAGCAAAAGGCAAGACCACCCTACAGAGAGTAAACTCTTATGTCTCACCTTACTGGGTTCTCCTGGGAGAATTCTAAGTGGAATAAAGACAACTAAGATGCAGGATGTGACTTATCACAAGAACATTCCTGTAGAGATGTGGATCTCACAGGAAACAGGAAATATCACTCACTGAAAGCCACAAATACCTCGAGCCGATGTGGAGGAGTGCTGGATCTGTTTTGTTGGGCCTTTCCTGGACCTCCTGGGAAAATGAGTGTGAGGGAGGAAGGGTCTAGGAGAGGCAACACGAGCCATGCATGTGCAAGGCCCAAGGTGAACAGGTGCAGGAACAGATAGGCTCAGGGCATTGCATGTTACCATCCAGAGCTAGCCAGGCTTTAACATACAGGAAATCTGGCAGAAAATGTCCCCACCATTCTAACAGGAAAATCTGTACAGGTCAATGCAATCTTTCTACGAATGCAAATAAATCCCAAAAGAAGCAGAAAATGAGAAAGAATAAGTTGTGAACCAATGGAATATGGAATATATTATATATTTATTTTTATGGAATGTTTATTATTTGTATGTGGAATACTATGGAATATATTAATAGTATTTAGATAAAGGATAATTTTCATTAAAAGGGTAAAACTGTAACTTGTACTGATATAAAAATGAACATATGGTAATGATTTTATTTAAATCATGAATGAAGAAAGTTTCAAAGTGTTGCCACCAAATCAAAGGAGAAACCAAAAAAAAAGAGACATTTCTAAATCAGAAATACTAAAATGAATGTGCAAATGGGGCAAAACTGTTCTCTTCCACAGTCAGGGGAGGGAAGTCAATTGGACTGTCTCCACTGGGCAGAATTTTTATGTCTACAGAGAAGAAGTGTTTTTGTTTCTTTTTTGTTTTGTTTAGTTTTGTGTTGCTATTAGTTATTGACATCCTACAGAATTGTAAAATAGCTCCAACAAAATCATAATCATGCTATAGGCAAGGCGTAGTTTTCCACTCAAGCTTAAATTTGTCTTGAGAGTGCTTTACTGTTATGTGTCTGCAGTAACTTATCAAACGTGTGCTTTTAGATGGTCCTAGAATTTAAAGATGAGAAGCCAATCCCCAGCAGTGTGCTTAGGGCAGTGAAGATGCTGAGGAAGGACTTGGAGCTTAAGGATAACACCCAGAGTATATTGCTCATACATCTGACACGGCTGTTCTCATATCACTTTTCTAAATATCTGTCCCTTAATATTCAGTCACAGAGCCTTCCTACGTGAAGTTCCTTGTTTCTCAGTCCATCACCCTCCTCCCACCGGCAAAGCAGGCTGTTGACCTTGAGGAAGTCTGAACTCGGCCTCCAGTCAGTCCCAATACCATCCCAACACTAAGCCTGAGTCCAGGAGGTTTGCAAACACTGAGAGAAAATGTGAACCATCCAACCCTCTGCTATTTGTCTGTAACACCCAATGCTGGGTCCATACGGCATTTCCAGGAAAAAGGCCCAAGCCACCCGGATCTTACTGAGGTTACAGATGTTAGCAGGATTAGTGCTTGAAGAAGTCTGACCACAGAGTAATAGACAATGACTGCAAGTGCTTACAGAATGGAACAGCCAAAGAGCCTGCAGCAATAAGTGGAGAATTCATTCTGAAGCAGAAAGCAAGAAGCATGTGGGGGAGATGAAATAAAACAGTAACTTCCACATGAGGCTATGAGAAAGCGGATATTTTAAAACACCAGGGAACTCCCAGAACCTCAGATAAGAACAAACAATCTGCCAATATGTTGTTTCAAAGGCAGAGGATTGAAAAAAAACCGTTAAGTCTAGGTTGAGAGGCAATTTTTGCCTCTAGATGCCAAAAGTAATTGTAACACAATATGGGATAAACATTAGGAAGCTCCCAGAAGCAATTTTACATATGCACGGTGGTCATTTCAAATCAAGTAGATGGAATGACAACAAAAAACGGCTGCAAGAAATGAGAATATAAAGTATCCAGACCAAGAGATTTTAGTATTCTCAGATGTTAATAGTTACACACTATTTTTTTTAAAAAGTGGTTTTATTATTTGTTAAAATTGTCTTTTGGCTGAAGTCAAACAAAATAAAGGCAAAAGTAATATATTTTATGAAACCTTACAACAAAGAAATAGCTACTTGTCTCACAGGTTGGAATCTGAATGCCTTGTTTGTTAATGGAAAATCCATTATGGCATTTGGGGATAATGCATTTTGTTAAAACAAATGAGAGTTCTTCCCATCTCACCAACATTACTCTCTCATAGTTAGTCCAGAAATTTTACAAATATCAACAGAGGCACATTATAAGCTGACATGTCATTAAGTCATAAAGAGAAAGAAGAGAAATATTTATCATCACTATGTGTCAGACACCAAGCTAAGTGTTCTCTTTCTCTCTTATTAAATTGAGTCAACCATACTTCCAGATACAACCCTAGGTATAAACAGAGGAAGATGAAAACAAAAATGATACTCAGTACTGAACCTAAATAATCATACTTGCTAACCATGGCTAATCAAACAATTAAGCCATAGAGTTTAGGTGCAAACTTGATTCTGCTTGACTTGAGAGAAATTCACAGCCTTAGATGATGGGTGGGATGTAGATGGATTATTTTGTAGGATTTCTTAAAATGGTACTATTGTATGAATAAATCAAGATTATATTCTAAAACCCTTTTTACTATATCTGTTTAAAAACACTTTTCAGCACCTACTATATGCCAGATATTGTTCTGATCTCTAAGATCACATCAACATACTAAACAGAAAAAGAAAGAAAAAAGAAGAAAGGGAGAAAGGTAGGAAGGAGAGAAGGAAGGAAGGAAGGAAGGAAGGAAGGAAGGAAGGAAGGAAGGGAGAGAAATTTTCAGTCCTTGTAGATTTACATTATTTTGGGCTTAGATTTGGTGATGTCTTTTGAGAGAGATCAAACATTTTACTTATATTTTTTTTAATTAAGATTCCTTAAACCTCCCAAAGGAGGTTTGAAATAAGATCTTGCAATCGTATGGTTAAATTATCCAATAGTGTGTTTAAACCCCCAAACGTAGAATATAACACCACATTTAATAACCCTATTGTGCCAGTAAAATAGACAATTGCTTACACAAGTTTAGTGTGTGTGTGTGTGTGTGTGTGTGTGGTACAGTTGCACTGCCTTATGATAATACAACATACAGGAGGGTGGCTCCAGTGTCCTGCGGGATGCCTTCCAGCCCCAGCTCTGCCACTTACTGGTCCTAGACAAATCATTCCAGCTCTCTTGAGCCCAGTTTTTTTCAGCTGTAAAATGAGATAATAACCTCCATAGGGTGGGCGCGAGAACTAAATGAGCTCACTTAGAGAAAGCACTTGGCATGGTACAGAGCCCTTGTAAGCTTTAATGAACACTGTCATGATGTGAACAAGAACATGAGTTACTGCTACTATCCAATTTAGTTGTCTTAAAAAAGTCAACATCTATAAAGTACTATTAAAGTTTAATACTGATGTTACGCAGTAATATAAAGTACAGTCGGTTCCATGGGCCCCGTCGCAGGGCGGAAACAAAAGTAGACCTGTATGGTACATACATCCCTACACACAGTATGAAAGAAAAAGAAAATAATGTGCATGTTTCACATCTCTAACTTATAATGTGCACAATTATCACATTTGGCCTATATTCTTGCTGGATTTCACAGAATAGAAGCCTAAGGAGCAGAGTGATTGATTAATTAATCAATTAATTATTGATTAATAATTTACACAGCTCCTAGGGGTTACATGTGAACCCCAATCTTTGTCTTTTGGATGCTGATGCTCATGTGCTTTTCCAGCTACACCATGCTTCTCTCCTATAGAAACAGTTAATAACATTTACTTCTGTGCTATTCTCCTATACGCATATTTGACAATGTTTTTTCCCTTCTATTTTTGAAACTTCCCAATGCCTCAATCTAAAAGTACTGAGCCGCTCAGTGGAAATTGTTTATGTTCCCCAGTTGTCCTTTATTGGCTAAGAGTCTCCCAACCCTCACTCCATCTAGGGTATATATAACACCATCTCTGAGACCGACACAAGTTCAGGATAAGTACCAAATCCCTTCTCTGAACGATTTTGAGCTACAGTGTCTGTGCGACTCATCTGTGATTACCTGAGACCAGTCTGTGGGTAGCTAAGGGAATGAATCAATGGATGAATCCTATGTGATTAGTTTAGAAATTATTAATCAGCAATCACTCAGATACTCACATTCCTTTTATGTCCACTCATGCTGCTCTAAATCCCCACAGGTGAGTCTTCATCTGGACTTTGTCCCAACAGAGCTTACTACTTAAAATATAGTAGGAAAAGAGTGATGATTACATGCACTTTCAAATATGTAACTATTTCAATGACTCTAATATAATGTCAACATATATAAGCATACATTTTATGCATCAAATTGTAATTCAAGAAAGGTTTGTATACTGAGAATAACATGATTTGCTTTGAGAACCATCATATCAAACTTCACACATGATCATTTACAAGGCAACCCATATACTTCTCAGTTTCTACGCTTGGGATGCACCCTGTCCTAGAGAAAGACACAAACACAACCAGCCTTGCCCGGGGACATTAGGTCCCCTCTCGTGGACTTAACACAGGTGACCGCTGGTCATGCGTAAGTGTGAAAGATCTTTAGGACTTCGTTATTTCACTCATTCTGTTTATAATCAGTTTCAGTTTTTAGTTTGATTTTGAAGTTGTAGTTAATCAAAAGATATTTTACTTTTAGTACCACATTTTCATTTCCTTCCAGGCAACACTGCAATAACTGAAGTTTCAGCAACTTATTCCTCATTAAATGCCCATTAGAAACACCTTCTCCTCTGTGTGTTTTGGATGATAGCTTATATTTCAGATTGCCTTTTTATAGTGCTTACACTTTTCCACTGATAATCATGCTTTGTTTCCTTTTCATATGAAAGTGGAATTTTTATTTTTCTTATTTTGTTTTTGTTGTCAACATTCCAGATTGAGTTTTATGTAAATGCTTCTTGGAAAATATATAAATATTACATCAATATCCAAAAGAGGGACATTTTTATTCCAATAAAACAGTACTAATACATATAACGTTCTGATTCACTTTTACTGGGCCTCTAGGCGTGCGTGTTAGGGAAAAATCCTGCTCCAAAGTTGCTGTAATCTATATTAGTTTAAAATATTAATCACTAATTTAGCCCAAAGGTCAACTTTTTAATAGAAAATACTTCATCGTTCTTAATAAAATATTTAAAGAGTGAAAAATACCTGGAATAAAGCATTTTTAAAGAATTTGTGACAACTTTAAAGTAATCAGCATGCTTTTCTCCTTGGGGGCCAATATTCAGGAAAAGCAGTTCATTTGATTTTATTGACAATATAGTGATATTTGGCAAGTCGGGCATTTTTCCCCTTTTTAAATTTTTAAAAATTTAGTGTTGAAGACCTGCCAGATTGGCAGCACTAGAAATCGAAGTTACTCATAAGATTGGCTCTCCATAAAACTGTGTTCTTCAGGTTTGGGATGCAGGTTTTTGTGGGTTTTTTCCTACCTTAATTACTTTCCTCCTCTAGCACAGCCATTAATGAATCAGAGACACGACTGGGGAAGCGATTGACCCATTATTGTCCCTGTTGAGAAATAACACTGACTTCTTAGGATTATGGGAGAAGAATTTGAACTGAGAAAAAGGAGAAAGGAAGAGAGGGAAAAAGGAAAGATTGTTCTCTACTTAGGAATGGTTATAGATCATGTAGTCCTGGTTGTTAATATCATTTAATAGGCTGTCTACATAGTTTCTAACTCCATCTGAGCAAGACACAGGAAATAACTGAGCCTCAAAGATTCCCCTTAGTCCCTTACAGAAACCTTGACAGTAATGGTTAAAAGGGCCCCCAAGCTGCAGTGCAACTCACAGCTAATGTTTGTATCCCTGCTAACACATGCTTCCCGGGCAATCAACTGTTCTTCCAGGAACAAGAAACTTTATATCCCCTAAGTAAGCTCATTGGAGAGATAAATATTCTTTTTATTGAGTCGAAATGTCTCTTTTTCCTAACTCAGAAACTAAATGGTGTGGTAGTCACTAGACCTTCCCTTGAGCCCATTTCCTTGGAAACTTTTTTGTTTTAAGTTTTAGACTGTCTTCCTCTTTCTAGTCAAATCAAAGTTAATAAGGAAATAATAATTCTCATCAATTGTTGTTCCTTCTGTCTCTATGCCTGTCTCCAAGTGATCCCAAACTAAAAGACAGTTTTTTATTTTGCTCTTATTTGAGATTTGTTCTGATGCCCAGGAGCCCATTTCTATTTGCCCACCTTTTATTCAGAAAGTTTGTATCACTGTTTTTAAGCCCTGGGGAACATTTTGTAGACCATCTCCAAAATAGGAATAACATACTTCTAGATATTTTATTGTGAAAAGGACAATGTTAAAATATTTAAAAATTCTGGGTTTTGAAATAAAATGAGAAAATTTCACTTTATAATTCTAAATTCTAAAACACCAAAATAACTTTGCTCTATAAGAAGTGCTGATCACTTCTTATGGAAAGAAAGACAGCACTTCTTGGTCTTCTATGAGAAGTGCTGACCCCTTCACTGAAGTTCTTGGTCTGAACAGAAAAGCCATTGTTCTAAGACTCAAATAGGCAATATCACACAGAAACCACCTCAGATGACTTTGTTTCTCTTCTAGACATATGGTAAACCAAAACAAGCACATATATTAGCCAAATAGAAATTAATAGAAACCACTGAAAATGGGCTCCTGTTTGCACTCAGGGGAGTTCACAGAAGGGCAGGGTGCATAACCAATTAAGGGCTTATTTTTCTGGTGTCTAAATTGTTGACATTTACACTGTTTATAAAAAGTGTTGTAGTCACTAAACTACTGCAAAATGACATGCATGACAGTTGCACATTTTTGCCCTGTAATACATGTTGTTTGTGATTAAAAATTTCAGAGGAGTGACAAACGTTAATGAATTCTGCATGCCATAAATAGTGAATTACCCTTTCTAGAATAAGTGCCGAAGAGAACAGTGACAGGGACTATGAGATTAGAATGGTACATTTAGAGAATGCACACAATAGGCTATCTCTGTCTACTGATTTAGACCACAGTTGAAACCGGTTGCTGAAATGCAAACATGCCCAGGTGTCTTCTATCCTCTGAAATGCACATTGCCCACTAATGGAATTTTATAGATTCCATTTCTCCACACCACAGAACGACTGACCTTCTTGGAAAATAAAGTCAAAGTTGGCAGGGAGGCAGTCTGAGTGGAAGAAGCAGTTTCTGCATCTTGCCCAGGTAATGGCACTGAATTTCTCTTCCATTCCACCTAAGGATACCTGCAAACATCTATGAGACTCGATCTCATGCAGTAATGGGACTCCCGCTCCACAGGCCAAAGCTCCAAAGGAGGTTACGCCAATCAGGTTTTCCAAACGTGATGTCAAGATAAATCTCTGCATTTGAGAGACCACATACTTTTTAAATGTTGGTCTGAAAACTCCTACATTTTTCAGAAGCCCGCATACCAGAATGAACTCACATACAACAGCACTCTTTTTTATAATGAAGCATGTCAAGTTCATTTAGTTGGAAATTAAACTTGTAGCTAAATGTGACCATTTCATTTCTTGAGTTCATAAAATCCTTTCATCTGGTTGCTTCCAAAAATGCAGAACAAAACAAATATAAGACATTTTCCTGAATTCAATAGTTTCTCCCTTTTCCAACATTATGGGCAGGAAAAGTTAATATGAAGGTAACTATTTTTAATATGTATATAAAATAAACTATGTGGGAGATTTTTCAGAGGCAAATGCAGTAATTTTTCAGGGTACTTTTCTCTTTGGAGTGCGTTTAAAACCTTATTCATCTACAAGGAGATAATTTTTACGATTCAATTTGTTTTAGATATAGAAATCCCTCTATAAAGACAAAAGAAAGAGAAACGTGGTTAAAAAACTGTGATCCATGTGCTGCTTTAAGAACAGTTTCTTTTTTCTCAACAAGGAAGCTAATTCAAACTCATGGGCAAGGATAAATAAAAATAAGTTCCTGTCTACTGATAACCTCTGTGAAGAAACCTCTTCAATTGTCCTCTTTATATGAGTAGTAATTTAACTAAAATAAACTTAACAGTCCTTGTGTCTCTTCCCTCTAATCATATATCTTGCTTTTCTAAATGGCAAGAAAAAGTATCATAAGTCAGGGAGAAAAACTGATATTTGATCAGAAGCATTTTAATATAACCCTAGTACAGATCTGACTTGCTAAGAGCTTATCAAAATCTTGTCTAAAAAAGGGAAAAATAAGATCTACCAAATGCTTAGAAAGAAAATAAAGCAAACATGACAACAGTAGAGAATTGCGTTGCCACAAAAATCCAATAAACTCCCAAACACATACAAACCAATGCCTTGCTTTTTGCTTCGTCTGAAGGTCGTGCTTGCAAGTTCTCTAGAAACTGCATAAGAAAGAAGGGATATTTACCGTTACTCCAATATACCAAGCATTTTTTTTTCCTAAATTGGATCTTCTAAGTTTCCATCACGAATGAAACAAACATACTACAAGTTAAAATTTGCTTCTAACAAGAAGTCAAGTTTAATATTTCATTTTAGTGACCATGTAAATCATACAAAATACAATGTCTTATAAACAAAGCAAGTTTATTCCCAAGGAAGAGATTATAAAATATAATACTGTCTTTTGGGAAGCCACTTACCTGATTCAGACAACTTTATCATGGTCTTTACATCACTGTACCTTAAAACGTCTTCCTCTAAGTCCCTCAGTTTATGTTCAAATAGCCATCTGTTTTTCAAGTAACCGACTGAACATAACCTATTCATGTGGAAGCTATTGACTTATACAGCTAATAAATATTACACAAACCAAGGAACAGTGGTAAGGTTATGACAAATGGCATTCTGTTTCCTTTCAGATGTGTTATAGTATGCCAAAGTGATTGCCAATACCATACTTTAGGCACACAACAACTTAGAGTTTTTCAAACATTATTTTTTACTATATATATATTTGTATTTATACCAAATGCACCATGTGGTAAATTGACTTGATTGTAGAGGTAATTTCTCATATAAAAACTAAAGTAAGGAGAAAAGTACTCCATCAAAGTAAAGAACTTAGGAGAGAAAAAAAACAAACTATGGAAATACATTCAAATTAGTGGTCTTTTAAAAATAAAAAGGATCTCATGCAAAACTCCAGGTTGGGTTTAGAAATTTGTTGTGGAAAAACTGTATAGATGATCTAAAAGTGCCTAAAC